AGTAGGGCATCCAGAAGAATTAGTAATAAGTTGAGACTTATTTTTATTAATAGCAGCTCTAGTGAATCCATAAAATTTATTGGCAATACTTAAAATATCTTCTAAATTTTCTTTATAATTTGAAATCCAATTAGCATCATCCATATATCCTAATGAAAAGATTTCTAATGACAAAGAGGAAGTAGTTATATTCAGAATATCATCAGTCTATGTGTGTTGTATTGAGTATCCTTTGTTTATACTGTTAATTTCACAGAGGAGTGGGTCAAAGTAGATACATCAAAGCAATAGTGAAATGACTTCACCTTGATTAATACCAATACGAACATCGTAAAAATCAGAAAGGCCATCTGCTATAAATATAGCATTTTTCCTTTTAGAGAAAAGTTTAATGATCACTTGGATACAAAGTTCTGGAATTTTTAGTCGACGTATAGCAAGTTTAAGGATAGAGAGATCAACATGATCATAGGCTTTTAATAGATCCTGTAAAAAAATCCAAATATCTTTTTTGTTTTCTATTGCACCTTCTATTAGCATATTCATTATTTTGAGGGAGTTTTGGCTGGCATCTTTAGCTGATATTGATGATTTTAACAAACTATTGTACTCTGAAAAATCTCCCAGCTGGAAATTTGATCTTATTAAAGGCCTTTTTCAAAAAAATTTTTTAGATCTACATGATATCAGCAATGACATACCAAAACCAACCTTTATCCCTTCTTATAGTAATAAATATAAAACCACACCTAAACGATTAGATGGAATTTTTGCCTCATCAGAATTTATTTCTGATTTTATCTACTGTGGAATTGCAAAGTCTTTTCTTTACAAATCTGACCATAAAATGCTAATCGTCCATTTTGCTGATGTCAAAATTGAAAAAAATGCTCAAGTTAGAAGAAACAACACTAAAAGAAAAGTTTTGATCTTTTTCCTTATGAATCATGAGAAATGGGTTAAATTTTCAGAACAAACTGAGCTCAATTTCCAAACAATTCTTTGAACTTGCTTATTGATTTACCCCTGAATAGAACAAATATGAATAAATTATGAGAAGCTATTCGTAATAATATTACCTACGTAGCCTCTTGTATCATTCCGTATAAATGGATAACCTCCTATGATAACGCATCTAAACCTAAAAAATTGGTTACTCATTATGATCGTCTTAAAAAACTCAACAGAATTCTTCTCAAGATTTGTAACAAAAGAGTTCAGTCTAAAACTTGGCCTATCGGTGTAGAATGGGATGAAGATATTATTACATTATATGAT